GGATCTTTGGCCCTCAGATCGGGCATTTAATTGTAGGTCTCGAGGGGTACATCGGGCCCTTCATCGTAGGTTCCGATGGGCCAAAGCGCCCCTTGAAACCTGAGGGGGATCACGGGCCCCTGTAACCCGCTCCCCCCCCCCCCCCCCCCACCACCCGTCTATACCCTTCATCCATATCACAATGTCCACACGCACTAACGCGTCTGTAAGCATGCGCGGTAACAAGCGGTTCTGACATACGACTTTCAGCGCGTAGCATTGAGCACACACACAACGGGTGGGGTGGGGGGGGGAGGGGGGGGGAACACCACCGAGGGCTACCTGACCCATAAACCACAAGCTACCCGACCCATATACCACAGGTTTGATAACATCAGAACCATATGCGTGCCACAGCCAAATGCTGGCTAGGACGTTCACTTCATCAGTATTTTGCAAATCAAAGGTCGTCTGATGGTTTCGATGCGACGCGTAACATATTTTCAGAAATATCTTTTTGTCTTGCTGATAACGGTCCTGACGCAAACGCACGGCGAAATGGACTGAATCGTGTTTGCTGCGATAATTTCGCAGTCAGCAGACGACCAGATTAGACTGGGTCATTTCGTGATCGAGTCGATGAAGCGCCAATGACTTAAAGTGAAAAGACTGCTTGAGTCCATTGGTATGCTTGCATTTAATTGACTTAGGTCGTGTAATTTCAGAGCGTGGGATTTTTAGGAGAACCGGGGTATTGCTAGCGTTTTCCTAAACCTGGGTGGAAATGAGGCTAATGAGCCTTGCAACCTGATTTTACCATAAATTGCGTGATGTCAGGTACCAAAGTTCCATAACCATTCCAAAATGACAAATAAGAAACTGCATTATAAGCATTTCATGTCATTTCGATGGCGGTTTCGGAGCTTCAAAATGTCAGCAGCTTATGTCAGCAAAGTAAGCTCACTTGAAACAACAACAAAAAAAACACGTCCTTGGGCTCCTTCAAATGCTGCGCGAAAGAGACACAGCTGTACTCCCCTTGTCAGTGTGGATCAAGGTTTAAGTGGGGTGGGTGTTGATGTGTACATAGAGGTAAATATCATTGCGCCTGTGCTAGTCGGAGGTGGAAGGCTGCGATCTACGACATCCCGAGGTGTGCAGCCATAATTTGCTTCCGATTTTGCATCCGATGATTTGCTGTAGGATTGTAGGGAGGTTGTCATACGATATGCCGTCACATATTCAATGATTCCCTATTTTGTCGGTTGTTCGTTCGCATTTTTTGGGTGACAGTCGGTTGGAACGGTATTCCTATTATCATCGGTAGTTATCGATTTTTTAACTGCGATTTCCACACACCATGCCTGACCAACCACAAGCTGTGACTATGGTGCCATGCGTGATGTTTTTAATGCATGTAATAACAGTCTTCCCATAACGGATTGTGACATTTGCCCAGTTAGGCCTATCCTTACCCCTGCTTTGTTTGTTTTCATTAGATTAAACCATGCAATGTTATCATGGGATTTTATCCACCTGAGTTTTTCTATTGCATTCATTTTGAAAAGCATGATCATACAATTATGCTGTTGTCTGGTTTCATGAGGTGAAACAAGCTTTGCTTAGCTTAATTTAGCTTAGGTTACTTAGGCTTACCTCAGGTTGAATCAGTCATTGGCTGGTGATAAATGACCACTGACCAGAAGACTGTATGGCTAACTTAAAGTATGTGTAAGTTAAGATGCATTCAGAGCTGTTTGTGTCAGTGTTTCATATTTTTTTTAAATATTACACTGTTAGATATGTATACCTTTGGCTATGTTTTACTTTTGTGTCATCCAATTTATCAAAGATAACTCTAGTGCAATATGTCTCATTTACCTTACCAGAAATGTCAACATGCTTGTTTCCATGAAAACAGCTGTTTTGTTGGTGTATGCTGTTTGTTGATCGTGTATGCTGTATTCAAGCTTTGCCCTCTAAGGTGTATGCTGTATTCAACCTTTGCCTGCTAAGGGGAGTGCTGTGTGGCTTTGGTTCAGGGAAGGCTGCATATTTGTCTTGTAGTTGTTATGCAGCATTTTGACATAAAGACTGTTGCATGGTGAGGAGGGAACAATAACTATTGAAAGTCATAATATCTTACAATCATTTTAGAATGAGGCTGGTTTTCATGCAACTTTGAAACATGACCAGTATGATATACCAAGCTATCTAAATGTGTGACAAAGTGAGTGTGTCATGCATGTAGGGTCTTAGTACAACAGCTGATTGTGTGATTAACATCATCTGCATTTTGTTGTAAGATGTAGAAGTTTATCAATCATGCCATCACAGATCATATCACCTTACAAAGGTTAAACATTTCTGTAAGTTTAGTGCATTAGAGAGTAATATCATTCACATAGATAAGGCAGTAGTATGAGCCTCATTCTGTGGATAAAACCAGGAGAATGGTGATATAGTTGAGTTGGTATTTTGGCAACATGCCTTTATCAAAGCAATAGCAGAATTACTTTTGTCTGAGGAATGAGGCTAATACTACTGCTTTATCTATGGTAAACATTTCCCTGTGAGTTATAGCACATATGGCCTTCCCAGATTTATGCACCACACATTGATTGATGTTGATATCCCTCTGCTAATCAGTTAGCCTGCTCTTTCTCCTGGTGCATAGCAAGAACAGAAACAATAAAGAAGACAAGGGATCATTTACATGTATGGTGCGCATTTCCTCTTTACCTTGCAGCATCAGAGACAGCTCAGATTTTTATCCTTGTAAAACTTTCTTGGTGGGTTAATGACGTGCTGCTAAGGATTTTAAAGACCCTTAGACTGTTGTAAACATATTCAGCTAAGTTTTTTACAGGTTGTAAGTGTTGCATTAACACATTCTAGAGTGTCAGACAATGGCTCCAGCCAGTTAATGCCAAAGTGTTCTTCAGATATGCTGACCGAAGTGAGCAGCCTATGCACTCGATCATTGCATGCCAGCTTATATTGACCTTGGTTGAGGATTGCTTCACCTTTCTCTTCAGAGAGCTTGAGGCTTTACAGCCATCAAAGGGCACTTGTCCTAGGTGCATGGGGATCAGAGTAGTAAGCATTGGTCAAGCAAAAGCCTGTCCAGTTTTGAAGATTTTATCTCCTTTGGTCTGCACTGGGATAATGAATAATCATAGTGAGCAGGAAAACGGTGCAAAGAGATTAGATGGGATTTGGCATCTGCACAAACTACACCGGAGCATGCCGGCTCGTAGGGGACTGGATGTCACAGCATGCTTTTTAACAATAAGTGTTGAAAACCTAGGCTTGCAGGGATTGTGTACTAACAATAAATCTGCATGCTAGATACCTGCCATTCTGACAAGTACCGCTATCAATGCCTCGTTTTGACAGGTAATGTGAATCTCTTGTAAGCTTAAGGGAGGTCAAAATGATTATGCATTCTAATGTCTTTGGGCTAGAAATAGCGAATTGACAGCGAATAGCGAATGCAGCGTAACAGTGCCAATCTCGGCGGGGATATATGGAGACTCAGGACGTCCACCAGCTGTATTGATGCTCTGATTGTGCTGGATAGGGACATTCTCCACGGTAAATAATGTAAAAAGATAGTGATCCGAATGCGTACCATCGTGGTTACGATGATAGCCGTTGTTAAACGCGTCCGGCATTCGGCTTTTGCGCGTTCGGCATTTGACCCAACAATTATCCCACAGACGGTCTGTCATTTTTGACCCCTTTAACTCTAAGCGAGCTTGCATCTTACCTTGCAGTGTTGGAAATCACCGCGGGGGCAGGGTTTGAGAGTGATGCAAACCCTTCTTAACGTTGCACGCAAACTCCGATATTGCTTGCATTTTACCAGCAGCGGGAAGACGTCACCGAGGTCGGCCTTAACGTGGCGGAGCCTCTGGTAATGGTGCCGGCGCAGCACTTGTGTAAGGTTATTGACCGTACTTCTTGGGTCACATTCCTGACAAGGCGTGTACAATCCGGGGCTATTGACTGCCCGGTCACGCTAGACAAGGCCTGTACCATCCGGGGCTATTGGCTGCCCGGTCACGCTCGACAAGGCCTGTACAATCCGGGGCTATTGACTGCCCGGTCACATTGCGGGGGTTTGATCATCCAGGACCATACTGAAGTAGCTTCCGAGATGTGTGTTTCTTTGTGACGGCTGTACAGTCGTTCTTGACCCCTGCTGCCGACTTTTGATTGCTCGTGGTCGGCTGTTGACTTCATGCCCAATCCAAACACACCTGTTTAAAGCGTACGTCGTCCTGTCTCCGGCAGCGGGCCATGCTGCCCTTCCTACCTCAGACCGACGTCACCAGGCCACCGGAGGCGACGCCGGACCGCCGACCGCCGGCCGCCGGGCCGGACAGCGGCGAGGCGCCGGCGGCGGCGGCCGGCCGGTGGCCGCGGCCGGCGGCGCTGCGACGCACTCGCAGCTGGCCGCTGCCGGTGCGGCCGGCGTCGGACGCGCCGCCGGCGGAGCGCGCCCACCTGGCGCCGCTCATCCTGGAGATCGACTACGCGCCGGCCGAGGAGGCGGCCACCGGTCGCTGGCGACGGCGCTATAGCGAGCGGCTCACCCGCCGGCGGCGGCCGGCCGAGCAGGCCGAGCCGTCGGTCGGCCTGCGCTGCCAGCCGACCGACGGCGAGCGGAAGCAGGCTGCGGCACGGGGGGCGGACGGTGCTCAGAAGCTGCCCGCCGGTGCGGCGACCGCGCCACAGGCGCCGGGCGGCGGCGCACATCGAGGCGACGAGCCGGCCGCTGCGCCCTGCCAGCCGGCCGCGCCACGCCGGGCGGCGGGCGCCGTGCCGAAGCGCCTCAGCCACGGCCGCTCCCAGTCGGCCACCGTGCCGGCGTCGGTGACGGCGGCGGCCGTCGCCGCCGTCGTGGCAGACGCCGCCAGCGTTGGGCCGGCGCGGCTGCCCGTCTCATCGTCGGAGCGGCAGGGGGAACCGGCGGCGGCGGCGGCGTCGCGCGCGCCCACCGCGCCGCCCGAGGAGGCGCTGCCGTCGCCGTCAGAGCACGAGCAGCTGGGCTTCATACCACGCTCTTACCCTTACCGGATGCGTCACGGGGTGCACTACCCGAGCTTCGTCGAGTCGGGCGGTGGCCACTCGCTGGTGTACGGGCTGGACGGCTACTTCCCGAAGCCGCGCGAGGGCCAGTCGCTGGCCGAGTTCCTCGGGTCGCACGACTTCAAGCGGAACATCGCCGAGCTGGACCGCGAGAACGCCCACTTTCGCATCTCCGAGTCGCTCATCGCCGCGTTCGAGATGTTCGGCTCCGAGGTGCGAGTGCCGCGTGATGTGACGTGTTGGCAGCTGCCGTCGCCGGACGCGTCCGCCTGACATCCCCGCAACGCCACTGGCGAATGCGGGCTTGCCGAGCAGCGCTCCGACGCATTTGGAAGCGAGCTGCCGCCGACTTTCGCGAATCTTCTCGAAGCACCGGGGTTTGAGAGTTACGCGGGCTAGCAGTATTGGACATGGGGGCCTGCGGTTGTTGTGCGGACCACTTCTTGCCGGCTCTGTATCGTCTGCTTCCTGGGACCGCTCGCCTGCGTGGGCCCCTTCTCTGGTGGTGGTGGGGGGGGGGGGGGGGGGGGGGGGGAACGGAGCGGCGTTTTTCATCTGCGGTCGGGTTTACGACCCACGTAGTTGCAGCAGTTACGCCTTTTAGGATTGTGAAGTACAACTTTGTCATGTTCGTATGCCACTTTTAATGGGTTGAAGGATTACATGCTTGTCAAATTGCATACAAGTTGTTCAGGGGTATGCATAACCGAAATAGGTGGGTCTGGTAGACGCATCAGTCTGAGGTTAAGCTTACAGCAGAGGCTAAGAGGTGAGGTGGCTAACGGTAGACGGTGTTGACGGTGCTCGCGCCCGCGGCCCGCTGACCGCCGCACCCGTCCGCTCCAGATGAGGATGCAGACTAACGACGCCGGGGAGCGGGGCCGCACGAGCCGGGAGCCCAGCCTCGGCGCCCTGCGGCGGCGGTTGGTGGCCCGGCGGCGGGAGGCAGAGCCGCTCATCAGCGACAGTGAGCTGGCGGCGGGGGGAGCTGTCCTGCCCCGGGCTGGGGCTGAAGCCCTGTGTTGTCTCGTGTGACGTGCTGTCTGTGTGTGAACCAAGGGTCACGCGAGTTTTCATTAGTTTTCAATAGGTATTCATATATGCATATATAATTTTGTGTACAATCTGAGACAACTTTAGCTCTGGTGAACGCTTCATAAATAGAAGAGGGATATGTCCGAGGCGAACATACACACAATTTCTTTCTTATTCGGGACAGTCGCATCCTCAGCATGGGTGCTTTCATCGGTCGTTGGACAGAAGCAGAAAGACATAATTAAAGAAAAACACACACAATACTATTCGGGTCTGATTGGCCACTTCCAGAACATTGTGGATTTTACGTGTGTTCGTAGTCTTGAAGTTCAAAGTTAGCAGGCGCGTGCTGTTTGATGCTGGTTGTAGGTCATCCACTGTACCTGAACATCTGTCGATATCATGATAGGCAGTTCTTTTTGTGGCACTCGTTCTGCGCAAATAAACATTCGGCAGAGCGCCCTACTGCGCTGCTGTCCCACTCAACGTTCGCCCTCGCCGCGCATGAGAGCGTGCGAACTCCGTAGCCCCTGTTTGCCCACTTTTGTAAGGCAATCTCTTCCAGTCATTGGCATGTTCAAAGTCCACGCCAGGGACACAAACAGACCAGTGCAAGCACGTGCAGATAGACGCGGCCCTAGCGTGGGTCGACCGATAAATCGGACGGGACGACGCTGCTCCAATGCTGGACGCGTCAGCAGTGCGGGCGCAGGTGGCCTCATGACGCAGATAAAACTCCGCTGACATAATGCCGCTGGTGTGAATTCGCTCGAATTTCCAATGGCTGTTGAAGCATCCCAGCTGAGCTTGTTGCCGGCTGTCGGCTGCCGCCAGCGCGTGGCGTATGTACCTGTCGCCTGTTGAGCTGACGCCGGCTGACTTCCCCAGCCAGTGGCTCGCCGTCCTCGTGCTCGGGCCTCTCCGATCTGGAGCTACATGACGACCGGTCAGACATCGCCGCCGGTGACGGAGGTGAGCCGCGCCCCCCCCCCCCCCCCCCCCGCCGCCGCTGCCGCCGCTCGGTCTCGCCTATGTGGCAGGCTGTCCGCCGTGGCGGACGGCGCCGGCTCGGTCTCACCTATGTGACAGGCCGTCCGCCATGGCCGACGGCGCCGGCTCGGTCTCGCCTATGTGGCAGGCTGTTCGCCGTGGCCGACGGCGCCGCCTCGGTCTCGCCTATGTGTCAGGCTGTGACGGATCAGACCTGTTCAAAGGGCTCTCATATTTGGATCATGTTGTTGTGCTGTGGGCTGACGTGTCTGTCGACGATGCCATGTCGGTCGTAGAAATTAATATTGCCACGGCTGGGGAAGCGGATTTGGCAGCTGCTAGTACTGCTCTCGTAATTAAGGTCCGGTTGTAGAGGCGATTGCCTGATCTCGATTGTTCTCGTCCATGTATCATTCGCTTAAGTTACGACTACGACGTGTGTTTTCCGTCCGTCTGTGATGCGCTACATCGCTGGCAACGCCTGCTTCGCGTCCCTCGATCAGGCCCAGCGACGCTGGAGACTCCCACTGACCGTCCGTCCCTCTCTGGGCCCTGGAGCGGCACTGACGCCGCCTGATCCCGCACGCCGGCAGATCTGGCGGCGAGTCCGGCGGGGGGTCGGAGGCCGGCTGTGTCGGCGCCGCTCGCTATACCGAGCGCCCACCCGGCGTCGGCGCCGCCGCCCCCGCCGCCCCCGCCGCCGCCGGTGGTCCGCCGCTCCATCCACCGGCCCGTCTCAGTGACGGCCGAGAACATCGCGCTCTCGCTGCTCTCCCGCTTCCCGGAGAAACGGCTGCCCAAGGCTTCCGACCTGGTGTGGCTGGTCGGGGAGGACCAGGTGCCGCAGAGTGTGAGTTGACCCTGCGCAGCACCGGGTCGGGCCCGAGGATGCGAGAGGTGGGATACCAGGAGACCGAATGCGGTACAAGGACTCGGTGCGACAGGGCGTGGGCTTGAGTTGTCCATGTGCCAAATGAAGGCCAGGTGTTGCGATGTATGAGCCCGAGTCGTCTCTGCCAAACGAGGACATGTTCCTGAGAGTATGAGCAGTTTCTATACCAGTCGTGGATCGTTATTCGCTTGGGTCCCGCTTTTTCTGTACCTAAGCAGGATAAGCAGCATTATAATGTCCGATCGCTCCCTGTGTGCATCTCTGCACGCGATAGAGGTGTTGCTAACCATGTTTTTTTTCGGTGACTTCTATATGGCCAGTTACGTACCGCTATCTGTCACAGCGTAATCGGAGACACGATGACTGGTCCAAGGTCAGATGTGTGGCACAGTGTCCCATCTGCGCTGTCAGCGTGCATGTGTTTCCTGACGCTTGACCACTGAGCAGAACGTGTGACCGCCCTGGCCGGCTGTCGGCAGCTGCTGCCCATGCCCAGCGTGGGGTCGGAGTGGCCGGAGCCGGCCGAGGCGCCGCAGGACGAGCAGTCGCCCCAGGGCTCGCCCGGGGTCACGCTGCGCGGCACGAACGAGTGGGCGCCACCCCGCGCACAAATCATCTTCTCCATCCACAAACAGGGGAAGTGAGTGACCTGGCGGGGCTGCCTAGTGGCGTGGTGACCCTGTTCTCATTCCACGAGCAGCGGCATTGGACGCGCCCTGCCGCCTGGACTCAGAGACACAACTATTTATAAGCATGTGATGAAACGAAAGAAACGTGCAAACGTGTTCTGATGGCAATTATTCTGTCAGAAGTCATAAGCGGGCTTAGTCGGGAGTCGCATGCGTCATGTTTACAGTTAAAGGGCACTAGAAGTATCCGGAAACATCCGGCAGTCGTTCCCAGGAAGTGTTTCTGGCTCTTTGCAGAGATATTGCTTCAGCATATATGGACGCGGTCACATGCGCGTTGTGGCTGTAATAAAAACAATGTCTTAACTTGTACGCACGAATGGGCCACCGCCGAGGTTCTACCGTCATTGTTGTTTGTGCACCAGAGTTGCTCCCTGTCGGGGAGCTGGGCACATCGGTTGTTGCGTGCCTTTTGAAGCAGATTGTTTCGTTGAGGATCTTATTTTGCGGTACCAGGCCAGCTGATGGCTCAGGGGATGCGGCTCAAAGCTCAACCCGAGCCATGCATTTCACTGTTTGTTCAGAATTCGGCAAGAAATATTTGTACTTCCGGAAAGCTGCCGTTTTTAATGCCAAAGAAATTTCAGCGAGGCCACGTGCCACCCTTAGGTGATCTGTGCAAGAGCACACTACGGATGAAAGTGTTGGTATGGGTGTGACCTTTAGAGTTTTTTGTGTTAATGCGCACTTTTTCATACGCCTGCGTGTTCTGAGGTTGTCGTGTTCGACATGGTCTCAAAAATAGCAACGGGCTAGAAAGGAACTTACTAGTAGGAAAGGCCTTGGGTCTCTTCAGGGTGTATTGGCGTTGTTCTGTGCCCAGGTGCTTATGTTTATTATTGGGTGCTAGTTGTATGGGATAAGGGAGCGAGCTTGCATGAAATTCAAGGTTGCCGTTTTCCGTAACCATTTACGTAAAACAAAATGGCAACGGGCACAATTTTTACGTCTCGCCGCTCGCCATTGAAGGGTGAAAATAAACAAGTTTTCATGACCATTTTCAGATTAAGGCCAGAAATAGGTCAGACGAATTGCTAAGCATGGTCGCTTTCCGGCCATAACCTTACACCGCGCAATTTAAAAGCGATCAAAATTCTAGTTTGGTGTTATTGCGCTGGTAATCAGCGACAATTGAAGTGTTATGTAGACGTCAGGGCCGTCAAACCTGTGTAGTTACTGAGGTGGATCTGTGGGTAACCTCGTTTGTTTTATGTGTGGTTCCCACCTGTGCCGGTGCATAACCCCAGTTAACGTTTTACTTGGCTGCTGGGCCTAACCCGTGCACGGTGGTTGGGCATGGGCTGCGTTGTGGTATGCCCTGTACACACTGGCATGGTGCTTCGTCTGCCAGCGGTGGGTGGTGTTGGCCGGCGGGGCGCAGCCACCGCTCCCCGGTGTCACGACATTAGTGCCACGGCAAAAACTCCTCCCGACAGCAGTGCTACCTCATCATTTACAGCGCGGCATTACTTCTTTTGTAAGAACCTATGCAGGGTTTACTTGTATGCGATATTACTTCTACTGAAAAGACTTATACACAACATGATTGCTGCACAATATGCGTACTTCAAAAACTTTTACGCGTCATCATATCTAGTGAAACGACTTATACAGTGAGATGAGTGCTACACGACACAACTTGTACTGCAAAATTTACGCCCATCATTTACAGCAGACTTATTAAGTCCTTTCTTATATGCGACGTTACCTCTTCTGCAAAGTTCATACACGACATGAGCACTACATGACTTAACATGTACTGCAAAAACTACCAGTCATTACTTCTTCAGCAAAGACTTCTAAAAGCTTTACTTATACGCAACATTACTTCTGCTGCAACGAGTTATATGTGACATTATTGCCACTCAACTGAGCTTGAAAATAGTGAAGCACATCTCTTTAAAAAGGCTTATGCCTGTCATTTGCCTCCTGTAAAAATCCATATTGTTAAACGTATTAGCAATTTTCCTTATTCGGTTAATACTTAGGTGCGACACTTGTGTAATATGATGCGGGTCATAATCCACAAATTGTAACCGCCAGTACCCCGGCCCCATAAGGCCTCACCAAAAGCCCGGAGGAAACGGACACATTGGAGCACTTGGCTGGGCAAAATCAGCCTGCATGTGTCCACCCCATAGTGTCGGTACATTATGTAGATATCAAGATTGTCCAAGGTCGAGCTGCTGCAAATGTCTCTACTGACGGACACACGACGACATTAGGTCTACGTGACATTTTGCTATGCAAAGTTATGGTGCACTTTCGCAGGGTTGCAAAACCAGTTTGAGGGTTAAGCAGTGAAAAATGGCTAAACCGGCTCCAAACACAACAAAGCACGGCGTTTGTCCCAAATGCGACATACTTTCCTATCGCAGGTGAGGGGTGGATGGGGTCCTCAACTTAATACGAAACCACACGCTTGGCTGGATGTTCACTGAAACGCGACATTGCCTCTACAACAATTACTTATGTAAACCTCTGGTATTATGCGCCAAACTATTGCTTCAAAAAAATATACCTGTCATTGAGATTTTACTACTAAAACAGCAACCTTTGCACATGTACCAAGCAGACAAATGAACAGCCATGCACCGTTATGAATAAATGCCTTTTCGTGTCAGCGCCACGAACATTGTATTGCAGTATTTTTCAGTCGGGGTTCCCTTCTAATACGTTAATTATTCATACAACCCAGCGAGGTGTCCATGCACTTTACACTTCATAAGTATGGGCAATAAAAGTAATGTTGTGTTTGCGTAAAGGCCTATCATTTTTTTTCAGTAAAAGTAATGCCATTTACACGATTTTGATACATAGTGCTCGTCCTGTGGCGCTTGAGGCGCGTGTAGGTCTGTTGTAGAAAAATGTGTGTGTGTGCTTTTTTCAGCAGAAGTAGTGACTGGTATAGTTTTTTGAACTGTAAGTTTTACTGAGAAGCCCTCATGCTGCATCTAAGTCCTTTTAGCAGAAGTAATGTCGTGGTTAGGTAATGGCGGTTTTCGCAGTAGAAGCAATGACAGGTATATATTTTTGCGGTGGAAGTTTTGTCGCGTGGCACTGATGTCCTGCACGAGTATTGGCAGTAGAAGGAATCTTGTAGCACTCCCGTCGGTATAGGTTTTGATAGTGCCCCTGACGTGGTGGTGCCGCGCTGCCCGGCAGACGGTCGGCGGCGATGGCACGACAGTCGCACCGCTGCGCCGGCTGTGGCCTCAAGGTCTCACCAGCGCTGGCCAAGAAGTTCCGCTGGTGCGAGTACCTCGGCCGTTACTTTTGCGCCGGCTGCCACGAGAACCAGCAGTTCTACGTCCCCGCCCGCATCATCCACAAGCATGACTACAACATGTGAGTGGGTGGCCGGCTGGGTGTCCGTGTGTGTCCTGTGGAAGGCCGGGGTCGCCAGGCCGGCCTGGTAGCCGTGTGTGTCCTGTGGAAGGCCGGGGTCGCCAGGCCGGGTGGGCAGCCGTTTGTGTCCTGTTGGAAGGCAGGGGGTCGCCGGCCGGCCGGTAGCCGTGTGTGTCCTGTGGAAGGCCAGGGTCGCAGGCAGGCATGTGTGGAAGGCCGGGGTGCCAGGCCGGTGGGCAGCCGTGTGTGTCCTGTGGAAGGCCGGGGTCGCCAGGCCGGTGGCAGCGTGTGTGTCCTGTGGAAGGCCGGGGTCGCCAGGCCGGGTGGGCAGCCGTGGTGGTCCTGTGGAAGGCCGGGGTCGCCAGGCCGGCCTGGTAGCCGTGTGTGTCCTGTGGAAGGCCGGGGTCGCCAGGCCGGGTGGGCAGCCGTGTGTGTCCTGTGGAAGGCCGGGGTCGCCAGGCCGGCCTGGTAGCCGTGTGTGTCCTGTGGAAGGCCGGGGTCGCCAGGCCGGGTGGGCAGCCGTGTGTGTCCTGTGGAAGGCCGGGGTCGCCAGGCCGGCTGGCAGCGTGTGTGTCCTGTGGAAGGCCGGGGTCGCCAGGCCGGGTGGGGCAGGTGTGTGTCCTGTGGAAGGCCGGGGTCGCCAGGCCGGCCTGGCAGCCGTGTGTGTCCTGTGGGGAATGGTGGGCGAAAGGCGGGTCGCCAGGCCGGGTGGGCAGACGTGTGTGTCCTGTGGAAGGCCGGGGTCAGGGAGGGTGGGCAGCCGTGTGTGTCTGTGGAAGGCCGGGGTCGCCAGGCCGGGTGGGCAGCCGTGTGTGTCCTGTGGAAGGCCGGGGTCGCCAGGCCGGGTGGCAGCCGTGTGTGTCCTGTGGAAGGCCGGGGTCGCCAGGCCGGGTGGGCAGCCGTGTGTGCCCTGTGGAAGGCCGGGGTCGCCAGGCCGGGTGGGCAGCCGTGTGTGTCCTGGGAAGGCCGGGGTCGCCAGGCCGGGTGGGCAGCCGTGTGTGTCCTGTGGAAGGCCGGGGTCGCCAGGCCGGGTGGGCAGCCGTGTGTGTCCTGTGGAAGGCCGGGGTCGCCAGGCCGGGTGGGCAGCCGTGTGTGTCCTGTGGAAGGCCGGGGTCGCCAGGCCGGGTGGGCAGCCGTGTGTGCCCTGTGGAAGGCCGGGGTCGCCAGGCCGGGTGGGCAGCCTGTGTGTCCTGTGGAAGGCCGGGGTCGCCAGGCCGGCCTGGTAGCCGTGTGTGTCCTGTGGAAGGCCGGGGTCGCCAGGCCGGTGGGCAGCCGTGTGTGTCCTGTGGAAGGCCGGGGTCGCCAGGCCGGGTGGGCAGCCGTGTGTGGTCCTGTGGAAGGCCGGGGTCGCCAGGCCGGGTGGGCAGCCGTGTGTGTCCTGTGGAAGGCCGGGTCGCCAGCCGGGTGGGCAGCCGTGTGTGTCCTGTGGAAGGCCGGGGTCGCCAGGCCGGGTGGGCAGCCGTGTGTGCCCTGTGGAAGGCCGGGGTCGCCAGGCCGGGTGGGCAGCCGTGTGTGGTCCTGTGGAAGGCCGGGGTCGCCAGGCCGGCCTGGTAGCCGTGTGTGTCCTGTGGAAGAGGCCGGGTCGCCAGGCCGGGTGGGCAGCCGTGTGTGTCCTGTGGAAGGCCGGGGTCGCCAGGCCGGGTGGGCACCGTGTGTGTCCTGTGGAAGCCGGGGGTGGGCGGGCGGGGGTCGCCCAGCCGGCCGGTGGGCAGCGTGTGTGTCCTGTGGAAGGCCGGGGGTCGCCAGGCCGGGTGCGCCTGTGGGTGTCCTGTGGAAGGCCCGGGGTCGCCAGGCCGGGTGGGCAGCCGTGTGTGTCCTGTGGAAGGCCGGGGTCGCCAGGCCGGGTGGGCAGCCGTGTGTATCCTGTGGAAGGCCGGGGTCGCCAGGCCGGGGGGCAGCCGTGTGTGTCCTGTGGAAGGCCGGGGTCGCCAGGCCGGCCTGGCAGCCGTGTGTGTCCTGTGGAAGGCCGGGGTCGCCAGGCCGGGTGGGCAGCCGTGTGTGTCCTGTGGAAGGCCGGGGTCGCCAGGCCGGGTGGGCAGCCGTGTGTGTCCTGTGGAAGGCCGGGGTCGCCAGGCCGGGTGGGCAGCCGTGTGTGCCTGTGGAAGGCCGGGGTCGCCAGGCCGGGTTGGCAGCCGTGTGTGTCCTGTGGAAGGCCGGGGTCGCCAGGCCGGGTGGGCAGCCGTGTGTGTCCTGTGGAAGGCCGGGGTCGCCAGGCCGGCCTGGTAGCCGTGTGTGTCCTGTGGAAGGCCGCTATCGCGAGGAATCATCGCAAGGGAGGTCGAGTGGTGGAACGGCGGTCCGTCTCAGGCTGTATCGCTCAGCGCGCTTGGGCCATGCTTGACTGCTCAGCTTGTTCGGCTTGGTCTTCTGCGCTGCGCGGTTGATATTATTTCAGTGGTAATGCAATCAAATAAGGGTGTTCGTGGCGAAGAACACGGTCCCAAATAAAATGTTGCCGGTCATGGCCTGAATTGATGGTCTGAATGAGATCACAGCCCTGCCGGCTTCAGTGCTGGGTAGTGCGTCTCACAGCCAGGCGGTCTCCTCCACCCGTGACCCAGAGTCGTCCTTTGGTCGCAGGTCACCGGTGTTGCTGTTCTCGTACCAGCTGTCTACCCCTGATCCAGAGGCGTCCCTGACTCAGAGGCGTGCTGACAGGTGCCCGGTGTCGCTGATCTCGTACCAGATCTCCGCCCCTGACCCAGAGGCGTGCTCATAGGTACCCGGTGTCGCTGATCTCTTACCAGATCTCCGCCCCTGACCCAGAGGCGTGCTCACAGGTACCCGGTGTCGCTGGTCTCGTACCACATCTCCGCCCCTGACCCAGAGGCGTGCTCATAGGTACCCGGTGTCGCTGTTCTCGTACCAGCTGCTGGTCTCCATCTGGCGCGATCCCGCTGTTCCACGTCAACACAATCAACCCGTCGGTGCTGAATTACTCGGACCTGCACCAGTGTCGCGTGCTGCGCAAGAGACTCAGCATCGCCCAGAAGTACGTCGGCACCTGTCGCTTCGCCAAGCAGTGAGTGTCGCCGGCGCTTGGCTGGGGGCGGCTGCCAGCAGGCGCCGTTCCGTCGCAGCCCGTGACGGGATCGGTGGCCTGCCACGCTGGTAGTCCGCTGCGCAGAGTGGCGATTGTTGAAACGGACTCGTCTTGATGCGGTAAGCTGACAAGCGGTCGGCGTTTCGGCTGGCGTAACTGCCGGTTAAATCAGAGTTTTACCACACATAGATGCTGGCTTTGTTTTGGAAAGGGACGTGTAGCATACGGAAAGTAACGATACATTTTCTATCTCAAGTAACAATGACAGAAAATGAAGCTGTGTATCAACCCTATGTTCTGGTCTCTGTATGGGCCGACAGTTCCAGAGGGAGCTGCGAGCCAGCTGACTGGGCTAAACAAATGTACAATCGCAAACGGATGGAGCAAGTGTGTGACCAACGGGTTTTTACGGGGAGTCGCGGTAGCTCGAAAGCGAGTGGCCCGTTCGGAGCGCCATCACCTGCTGTAATGACCTCTGCTTGCTGCGAGGCTGCGCCACACCTCCGCTCTGGACTGATCTCTGACTCCGTCTGACGCCGTCTGTTCTGGGCTGACCTCTGTCCAGGGGACTTCGCCTGACGCCGTCTGTTCTGGACTGACTTCTGTCCAGGGGAGTCCGCCTGACGCCGTCTGTTCTGGACTGACCTCTGTCCGGGGTACTCAGTCTGACGCCGTCTGTTCTGGACTGACTTCTGTCCAGGGTACTCAGTCCGACGCCGTCTGTTCTGGACTGACCTCTGTCCAAGGTACTCAGTCTGACGCTGTCTGTTCTGGACTGACCTCTGTCCAGGGGACTCCGTCTGACGCCGTCTGTTCTGGACTGACGTCTGTCCAGGGGACTCCGTCTGACGCCATCTGTTCTGGACTGACGTCTGTCCAGGGGACTCCCTGACCCGGCTTGTGTTTCGGTAGGCTGCTGCGCACCCACCCGCTGCCGGACAAGTACATCATGGACGAAATCGACCTGTATTCGCTGCGGGACCTGGTGGAGGCCGCCAACCGCACGCTGACCAACGACCTGCAGAAGAAGTACACAGCCTACCTGGAGCACTGCAGACTCTGCCAGGTCAGCCCTACCCCGGCCTACCCGGCCATCAGGCCCACTTCATACCATTCTGTCCGTCATGTATTTGGTTATGCTGATGGTTCTCGAGGGTAAGTGACTGTAGAAAGGAGCAGTCCCATCGCGAGGAAGGGCGAGCCATTGTGTCTCATCGCGAGGAGGGGCGGGGCCATTGTGTCTCATCACGAGGAGGGGCGGGGGAACATTGTGTCCCATTACGAGAAGGGGTGGGGTCATTATGTCTCATCGCGAGGAAGGACGGAGGCCATTGTGTCTCATCTCCAGGAGGGACGGGGTCATTATGTCTCATCGCCAATATGGGCGGGGCCATTGTTTCATGGCTAGGAGGGCGGGGCCATTGTGTCTCATCACCAGGAGGGGCGGGGCCATTGTGTCTCATCACGAGGAGGGACGGAGGCCATTGTGTCCCATTGTGAGAAGGGGTGGGGTCATTATGTCTCATCACCAGGAGGGGCGGGGTCATTGTGTCTCATCTCCAGGAGGGGCGGGGTCATTGTGTATCATCGCCAGGAGGGGCGGGGGTCATTGTGTCTCATCACCAGGAGGGGTGGGGGTCATTGTGTCTCATCTCCAGGAGGGGCGGGTTCATTGTGTCTCATCGTCAGGAGGGGTGGGGCCATACTGTCTCATCACGAGGAGGGGCGGGGGAACATTGTGTCCCATTGCGAGAAGGGGTGGGGTCATTATGTCTCATCGCGAAGAAGGGCGGGGGTCATTATGTCTCATCGCGAGGAAGGGCGGGGCCATTGTGTCTTATCGCGAGGAAGGGCGGGGCCATTGTGTCTCATCGCCCGGAGGGGCGGGGCCATTGTGTCTCATCGCCTGGAGGGGCGGAGCCATTGTGTCTCATCGCCTGGAGGGGCGGGGTCATTGTGTCTCATCGCCAGTATGGGCGGGGCCATTGTGTCTATCGCCTGGAGGGGCGGGGCCATTGTGTCTCATCGCCTGGAGGGGCGGGGCCATTGTGTCTCATCGCCAGTATGGGCGGGGCCATTGTGTCTCATCGCCTGGAGGGGCGGGGCGATTGTGTCTCATGCCAGTATGGGGGCCATTGTGTCTCATCGCCAGGAGGGGCGGGGCCATTGTGTCTCATCTGGAGGGGCGGGGCGATTGTGTCTCATTGCCAGTATGGGCGGGGCCATTGTGTCTCATCGCCCGGAGGGGCGGGGCCATTGTGTCTCATCGCCTGGAGGGGCGGGGCCATTGTGTCTCATCGCCTGGAGGGGCGGGGCCCTTGTGCGGTGCGAGTGCCGGCAGTGTGTTTGCTGACCAGAGTAGTCCGTGCTTCGTGCTTTCCGTGCTGGCACGTGGCTTCCGGCGGCTTTGCATCCGCGGGTAAGCTGGGTGCAGCTTGTTTGGTTGTTGTCATCATCTCCCTTATTGCTCGCCAAACACACAGCAGAGTAAGAGTCAGAGCATCGATGTTTGTGCTGGTGAGAACTCGGAGCCGCATGCTGCGGGTTACGATGGATAGGTAAGGAATAAGCAGTACTCGGTTTGCGACGCTATGCAAGGACGACGGTGCCGTGATAGTATGATGAGCATCCTGTTGCAGTGGTAGTCAAAAGTAAGCGTGCACGTTAGCTGTTACGCCAGTGACAGCCATGATGTCGTGTGATGCGCTCCGTGTAGTGGGTGTGTCTGCCGGTGTCTGCCGTTGTAGAGTGGCATTTCTGCGTTAGTGAGTGGCCGCGGGTCGGCTCCGATTGGCTGTGTTGTCGAGGTGCTGTCCTCACTGTCGAGCGCGGTCGAGTCTTTCGTGATAGTCAGTGGTGTCTTTTTACTGGTATGGGGTGTGTTTCAATGCTGCTGAAGTGTTACAGCAGTATTCGCCAGACATCTGCCGGGTGACTGGTTTCCTACATGAAAATGAGACCTTGCCTCGTGGTTCTGACTGCTTCTTTCGTAACACACATTAGACCTTTTAAGATATTCCATCGGTTGTTTTGCAACACCGGTTTCTAATTCCTACTACCTTAATGTTTGTTTGCAAACACAAGATATGGCCTGGTTCAATTGCCTGGTTTATTTTATCATATTTTAGTCTAGTTCGTGGTATGGTGTTTTAGGGTATGTTTTGAAGCATCGACTGTTACATACATATATATTGCATTTTTTGTAACGAGTGAGTGAGTGATGTAGCGGCCCGAAGAAAGCGAAGGTTGAAACGAGCCGAAACCTAAAAACTACCTCGTGGACGGTTGTCGAGTGATTGAAATACATAACACAAACGCCGGGACCTAGCTCGTTGATCCCATTGGCTGTTAGCCAGCATCTGACAATGGCTCGTAGTTCCCACTGTTTTTGTTCACGAACACCAGGCTCTGGTTCCTTGTTTCCACTGGTCCCTTCGTAAAGACCAGAGTGTAGTTCTTAGTTCCCACTGAACACCAGATCCCCTTACATGCTTCTCATTGGCTTACTCGTAAACACTAGCTTTGGCTACCATTTGACAGTTTGTACTACTAAAGGTATGTCCTCTTAAATAGGTATGACGTAGTTGGGATGTGATGTGCTAGGCTCCTCTAGTGTTGCCAGTGACGCACCTGTCGCTATCAGCTTGTTTGTAGCGGCTCCACTGTGCTGCCGTTTTGTCGCTGTGTTCGTAATTCCGTTTGGTACGTTGCCCCATGCCACCGAAAGTGCAACATACGAAACAACGACAAGTAGAGTGCAAGGTGTCACTGTTGTCATATGCCGTAACATGCAACGTTGTGACATTCACATGCATCGCAATATTGCAACATGTTGCTGCAATATTAATGTATTTGCAGCTCTCCGGCTGTCGTGTTGGTGTGGTGACCGCTGAGTTGAACCGCAGTGATGCTGTTAGGTGTATTGGATGCAATGGGTTGTCCATTAGTTCATGTTCGTGTTGGCTGGGGTTACAAGGCCACTGTTGTGTTCGCTAGTTGCTCACGTCGTCTTTGGCGTTGGATCCCATTAACGATGTTGAGTGTTTTCCTGTACCAGAGTAGTAGTTCTCCTGTCGCTCTATTGACACTAGTGGTAGAGGTCTGTTGACTCTGGTTGCTCCAGCATCCTCGGACAGCAGCTGCAGTGTCTGTGCTGGCCAGGCTGTCGGGGTGTCTGCGCTGACTGTGGTCACCGTAGCGCTGCCCCCTGCCCGGCGGCTGTAGTGTGTGGCTCGGGCCGGGACGCTGTGCCGAGCCTTGGGGCTCCCGGCCGGCCCGGCCTCTCGTGAGCGCCGCCGCGGACGCTCCCGCGGGGCTCCCGGCCGGCCCGGCCTCTCGTGAGCGCCGCCGCGGACGCTCCCGCGGGGCTCCCGGCCGGCCCGGCCTCTCGTCAGCGCCGCCGCGGACGCTCCCGCGGGCTCCCGGCCGGCCCGGCCTCTCGTCAGCGCCGCCGCGGACGCTCCCGCAGGGCTCCCGGCCGGCCCGGCCTCTCGTGAGCGCCGCTGCGGACGCTCCCGCGGGGCTCCCGGCCGGCCCGGCCTCTCGTCAGCGCCGCCGCGGACGCTCCCGCAGGGCTCCCGGCCGGCCCGGCCTCTCGTGAGCGCCGCTGCGGACGCTCCCGCGGGGCTCCCGGCCGGCCGGCCTCTGCGTCAGCGCCGCCGCGGACGCTCCCGCGGGGCTCCCGGCCGGCCCGGCCTCTCGTCAGCGCCGCCGCGGACGCTCCCGCGGGGCTCCCGGCCACCGCTGTGCACGTGACGTCCCGTGGAGCCCGCCGGCCTGAACGTCCCCGGGTCACGTGACGCTGACTGGCTGTGATGTCTCAGCACGCGGTGTGCCCCGAGTCAGGGTCGTGTGGGGGCGTCGCTTCCTGTCCGTCCTAACGTCCGCCGCCGACCTTCTCCTCCCGGTGTCCACCGCCGCCGCCGCCGCCGCCGCTGCCACCGCCTCCGGCTGGCTTCCTGTCCGTCCTAACGTCCGCCGCCGGCCTTCTCCTCCCGGTGTCCACCGCCGCCGCCGCCGCCGCCGCCGCCGCTGCCACCGCCTCCGGCTGGCTTCCTGTCCGTCCTGACGTCCGTCGCCGACCTTCTCCTCCTGGTGTCCACCGCCGCCGCCGCCCGCCGCCGCCGCCGCGCCGCCGCCGCCGCCGCCACCGCCGCCTCCTCCGCCACCGCCGCCTCCTCCGGCTGGCTTCCTGTCCGTCCTGACGTCCGTCGCCGACCTTCTCCTCCCGGTGTCCACCGCCGCCGCCGCCGCCGCCGCCGCCACCGCCGCCTCCTCCGCCACCGCCGCCTCCTCCGGCTGGCTTCCTGTCCGTTCCTGTCCGCGCCGCCGCTACCACCGCCGCCGCCGCCTCCGGCTGGCTTCCTCCGTCGTCCTAACGTCCGTCGCCGACCTTCTCCTCCCGGTGTCACCGCCGCCGCCGCCGCGCCGCCACCGCCGCCTCCTCCGCCACCGCCGCCTCCTCCGGCTGGCTTCCTGTCCGTCCTGACGTCCGTCGCCGACCTTCTCTCCCGGTGTCCACCCGCGCCGCCGCCGCCGCCCGCCGCCCGCCGCCGCCACCGCCGCCTCCGGCTGGCTTCCCGTCCGTCCTGACGTCCGCCGCCGGCCTTCTCCTCCCGGTGTCCACCGGGTCCGTCGCCGACCTTCTCCTCCCGGTGTCCACACCGCCGCCGCCTCCGGCTGGGTCCTGCCTGGTGGCGGTGCCAGGGCCCAGGGTGCTGGACCTGGCGACGACGGTGTAACGGCTGCCACGCATATTGTGACAAATACAACGCTTTGCATCTTCGGGTTTGGAAAGTGTGGTGGCAAATCATCACGATCCGCTTTAGAAGTCTGTCTTAGATGTTTTTTGTTCAAACTTCGTGAAAGTTGGGGCTTCAAATACTATTGATTATTTTTGTTATGCGGATGTCACATGTAAGGTGGCATCGTCTGGACGTAAACCCAATATTGTACTGTTGTAATATAAACCCAATGTTTTATTGGGCTTTCCTATATTAATTTGTGCTCATTGCTGTCAAAAGCTATGTCAATAGCTGCTCATTTTGGAGAACACATCCTGATAGCATTTCGTTTCATTTTTGCAAGGCGTGCATGCCATGGCTGAACGTATTTTCCCAGAGTTCTCTTGATAACGTATGACGCCCGGAAAAAATGCGCCCCGAAGCGATTTAGTGTTGAACTATTTTTTCGCTGCCTCCTGACACGTGACCGAGCGGTGCCATGTATGCTAGCGACTAGCCGTATTCGCCTGTCCCATACAGCTTGAGAAGCGCCGCCATCAGTGTGGTATCGGCTGCGCAAGGAACTGCCTGTGGCCTGCCCGGTGTTGCATTTGATATCTTACGCCTGCGTCTAAAAGCTTGTCTGTAGGCATGTTTTCAGGGTTTTCGCTTTCTTTGCATTATCCATCATTCATTTGCATGCTTCTTTTATTTGACCGAGGGTCTATGAGGATCCAATACTTCCTCTCTATCCTTTCAGCTGACTTAGCATGAAGCCGCCACTTTCGCCCTTTTGCCATCACTGCGTTACTTTTCTCGGTCGCCTGCGACATTTCATTGCCATCGCCACACGCTGGGTACACTGCCACCTGTTTGGTTTCGCCGCTGGCTAACGCTTCCGGTGCCGCTTGCTGTTTGGTTGTGCTCGGCCGCCGGGTGCCGCTAGGCTGCGGCCCGCCCTGACCGATCCCCATGTCCCTCTCTGCCTCCAGCTGTGCCGCGGCCGGGCACACTTTTGCGAGGCGTGTCAGGAGCGGCGGCGGCGGCGGCGGCGGCGCCTGTCGCTCTGCTGCGCGCGCGCCGTGTGCGCCCTGGTGCGCGCTCAGTGCTGCCGTTTGTTTCACCAGCTGTGCTGCGGCCGCGGCTTCCACTGCGAGACGTGCCGCCACCACCAGGCGCTGTTCCCGTTCGAGCTGCCGGAGGTGCGCCAGTGCGCCACCTGCGGCGCCTGCTACCACTACCTCTGCTTCCCGGAGCCGGCCGGCTGCGTGCGCTGCCGACGCCTGGCGCTGCGGCGCGCCGCCGTCCAGGAGGCCTAGCGTCGCCGTCCGCCGTCCGCCCAGGCGGAGAGCGGCGACGAGCCAGCCGGCGACGCTCAGTCGGGCTGCGGGCCGGTGCTGCACCGTTGCTGGGGTACTGCCGGACGTCATACGGCGGGGGTTACGCCAGCTTCGGCGGGATTCCCGCGTGGATAGGCGGCCCGTGGTGCAAAGCCGCTGGGCAGCCGGCTGGCTGTGGCTGTGGCTGTGGTCTGTGAGCAGGGCACCGCGCCGGGCGCCCAGCGGACCGTGGCTGTACGTTGGCGATGGGCGCCCGTGGTGATATTCTGGTGTGGGGAAGCTCGCGGCGACAGTTGTGAGAGGTGCCAAAACGTCGGCACCTGACCTGCGCACCCGCCCTGCTGTGTCGTCTTGGCCGGAACCGCACCGGTCGAAGATCTTTCACGGGTTGGGGAGTGGGAGAGGGTTTGCACAAGGCACTTGTTGGTGCGCTTTGTTGCGTCGAAGCATTCGTCGGACCGGGCTGTGAATGAGCTCTTTCCCACATTGCGCGATTCATTAGTGTTTTATAACGATGTCGAACATGTTTGTCGCACGCCCAGTCACTGTAGTGGCACGTACATCATACAGTGTGTTCGGATGTTACCGGCATTTATCGACTGTAAGACAATAAGGCAGGGCTAGGTTACTTATATTCCAATCACATATCACATATATAGTGTGTAGCGGTGCATCATATAACCTGTGAGTCATCATATGGCACAAGGCTCTTCCTTTTGGAAATGGCCGCCCCCGAACCGGAGTCCTCCGTTCGAGGCCGCTGACAGCGTCATTTATAGCGGAAGACACATCCAAGGTCTGTGTTGCACCGGACTTCAAACCTACGCGGCGAGCATTGCGGTACAGCAGTGCTACGGGTACCGTGTAGCAAGCCGTCGGAACCTGCCCGCCCGCTGGACTTCCGTCCGAGGAAGCCGGGTCACTGCGTTGTTTTTCAGCGGCATGTGCGGCCCTGGTGGCCAAGTGTGAAACGTAGGCGCGTTATCACAACGGAGGCGTATCTATCTTGCCAATACTCACCTCGCGAGGGTACATTCCTGTAAACGGTAGCTCAAAGACTTCAGAAGCCGAACACGTGTATTTTGAACGAACATCCATGCTTTAAGAAATGAGCGCCGCTGCGTCGATGTCTCGTCGCACTAGAAAAAAAGCACCACTACCACACTCAAGTTATACATACGACGCCTAAGACAACGGGTCTGCGTGTCAATGTTCGCGTCATGCTGCTGCAGTTCAGGAACCCGCGAAATCTCATAGGCTCTGCGGAGGTGCTTCTTTTGTGGTGGTTTATGCCATGCATACTTGCCAATAAATATAGCAGGCAATACTGCGTTGGGTGTTGTGCCTTTGTATTGTGTGGCGACGAGCAGTGTCGCCCGATGACAGCGGTCAGCGTTTCGACCGATCCATCAGCGGGGTTGCCCGCTGTTGGTTGCCTGGGATGTCTGCTGGCCGGGCAGAGAGGTCGACGTGGACGGCTCCCCAGGCCGGGGCCCTCTCATGTCGACTGTCCAGGCTGGCCAGGGCTAGTCAGGCTAGCCAGGCTGACCAGGCTGGCCAGGCTGACCTGCGCTTGATGCTCAACCGGGTAGTCCCGGCTGTCCAGGCCGGCCAGCGTCTGATGCTCACCGGGTTGTCCCGACTTTCCAGGCTGTCCAGGCTGGCAGCATCTGATGCTCCACCGGGTAGTCCCGACTTTCCAGGCTATTCAGGCCGGCCAGCGTCTGATGCTCCACCGGGTAGTCCCGACTTTCCAGGCTGTCCAGGCTGGCCAGCGTCTGATGCTCCACCGGGTAGTCCCGACTTTCCAGGCTGTCCAGGCCGGCCAGCGTCTGATGCTTCACCGGGTAGTCCCGACTTTCCAGGCTGTCCAGGCTGGCCAGCGTCTGATGCTACGCCGGGTAGTCCCGACTGTCCAGGCTGGCGAGGCTGACCAGGCTGAACTGCGCCTGATGCTCCACCGGTTAGTCCCGACTGTCCAGGCTGGCCAGCGTATGATGCTCCACCGGGTAGTCCCGGTCGGCCAGGCTGACCTGCGCCTGATGCTCCACCGGGTAGTCCCGGTCGGCCAGGCTGACCTGCGCCTGATGCTCCACCGGGTAGTCCCGGTCGGCCAGGCTGATCTGCGCCTGATGCTCCACCGGGTAGTCCCGGTCGGCCAGGCTGACCTGCGCCTGATACTCCACCGGGTAGTCCCGGTCGGCCAGGCTGACCTGCGCCTGATACTCCACCGGGTAGTCCCGGTCGGCCAGGCTGACCTGCGCCTGATACTTCACCGGGTAGTCCCGGTCGGCCAGGCTGACCTGCGCCTGATACTCCACCGGGTAGTCCCGGTCGGCCAGGCTGACCTGCGCCTGATACTCCACCGGGTAGTCCCGGCTGTCCGGGCTGACCTGCGCCTGATGCTCCACCGGGTAGTCCCGGTCGGCCAGGCTGACCTGCGCCTGATGCTCCACCGGGTAGTCCCGGTCGGCCAGGCTGACCTGTGCCTGAAGCTCCACCGGGTAGTCCGGGTTGACCAGGCCATCCACCTCCGCCACCATTACCTCCTGATCCTCCCCATCCAGCGTTGCTTCCCCCGGGCTGTCCGGGTTGACCAGGCCATCCACCTCCACCACCATTACCTCCTGATCCTCCCCATCCAGCGTTGCTTCCCCCGGGCTGTCCGGGTTGACCAGGCCATCCACCTCCACCACCATTACCTCCTGATCCTCCCCATCCAGCGTTGCCTCCCCCGGGCTGTCCGGGTTGACCAGGCCATCCACCTCCACCACCAATACCTCCTGATCCTCCCCATCCAGCGTTGTTTCCCCCGGGCTGTCCGGGTTGACCGGACCCTCCCCACCATCTCCCTCCCCCTTGTCCGGATCCTCCCCATCCACCTCCGCCGCCACTACCTCCCGATCCACCCCTTCCGCCTACCCAGCTTCCCCCGGGCTGTCCGGGTTGACCGGATCCTCCCCACCATCCCCCTCTCCCTCCCCCGGATCCTCCCCATCCACCTCCGCTGCCGCTACCTCCCGGTCCACCCCTTCCGCCTCCCCAGATTCCCCCGGGTTGCCCGGGTTGTCCGGCTCCTCCCCACCATCCCCATCCGCCACCGTACCCTCCGGATCCTCCGGACCCTCCCCACCCGGCCCCCCATCCTCCGCCGGGCTGGCCGGGCTGGCCAGGTGCACCGGGCACTGCTAACAGTCGGGCCGCGCTGCCAGCCGGCGGCACCGGTCCGACCGGACCCTCGAGGCCGGCTGCGGGGTCGCTGGACGGTGCTCTGGCGGCGCCAGGACGACTCGGCTCGCCGCCGGCACCAGACGCGCTCTCCTCGCCAGGGGTGCCGGGCTGTTCGGGTCGATGAGGAGTTCTGAGACGCTTGTCGTGAGGAGGCGGCACAGGTGGACCTAGGGCAACGGGACATTTCCGGCTGTCGTGAGGAGGCGGCACAGGTGGACCTAGGGCAACGGGACATTTCCGGCTGTCGTGTCCAACAGCCCTCAAACAACCCACAAAACGAGACATTCGGGCCCTGGCCATGGACAACTGGATAAGAAAAACTTCAAAAAAAATGCGGAAGACGAGGTAAACCTCTGGCACATAGTCCTTACCCCCTGCGACAGAAATCATCGCCGAAGGTGGTGGTCCAAAAGCACAGCCATAGGCAAGGGTCAATCGCTTTAAATGAGAAAAAAGACGTTGGTATCTCTTGCGCGAAAGCGGGGCCCGACATCGCGTGCACTGCGTTACCTCACGTCTTCCCCGCCCGGCACCTCAAGTCAGGGATCCGACGAACAAGCAACCGACTTACTGAGGGAGGGTCACCATGCTCTCTCTGCAGCCAGCCGGCAAAGAATGACACGACCCGGCGTGTATCGTTCACTGGCCAAGCCGTTATGACGTACTCCTCGACTTACGGGTGTGATGTGACATGTCTGACGCTGCGGCTAACTGACTGAGGACGACATGACTTACCATGGGCTTACTGACAGCGGATAACGCACTGACGGCCCCCCCCCCCCCCCCTTCCGTGGCTTCTGGCGGCAGGTAACCGGCTTCGCCTGCGCGGCTTAATAACGGAGGAAGACCTTGTAACTAAATAGCTTATCAGCTGGAGATGACGCGCGTCCGCTGCCTATTACTGACGGAGAATCCTGCGCCCTTCCCAGCACTGAGATACTGACGCGCGCGCGCACCGCCAGTTTACACCTGCGCACTGGCACCCTACAGCAGGATGGCGCGATTTCACCCTGCGCCTGGGTGGCAGGGAATGGCCCCACTTACGCTTGGACCTACTGAAAGCAGACGAGCGTGTCTCACCTTGCGGTTCTGTGGTCGCGATGCCCAGGGCGCCGCACACCAGTGCAACTGTTACAAGAGGAGCCATTGCGCGTCCGCGCGGTGCGGGCCACTCCGCGGCACTGTCTGCCCCGCTGCGCAGCATCAGCTGTAAGCCACGGTCCGACGGCCGTGTGTGGCGGCGGCAGCTGCACGCTGGCCCGCCCCGTCCTGTTTGTGCCTGTAAGCCCGGAGGTGATGGGCGGCCGGCTGGAACTAATGTGCTGGTGCCGGATCTGCCCCGCCATTCGACCGGTGAGCTTCGCCGGGGGATCTCGCGAGATCGAATGTGCAGAGGCGTGAAGATATGTCCCGGATCTGTCTTGTGTGGAAGGTCGGAACACACGGAAAATATGCGGAAGTCTGAAGCAGAGCAGACTTAAAGCCAGCAACTTTGCACAGAAGTGAGGTTTCATCGTCTGCCACAGGTCAGCACAAGATCAGTATCTGTCATAGCTGACCATTGAACCCACATCCAACCCCATCCACATGTCATTCGGTTCTCTCACGACAGTCCTTGTCCCAGCTGAATCGTGTCAAATAGCAGGCATGTTAACCGGTACGATGCTGGTGGAAAACAGGCCCTTTGTGAGCACTGTGGCAAACTGTGGCAAACGCCAGTTTCATTGGAGCTTTCGGCTGCACGAGGGGGATACCCGGGCCACCAGCATTCGTGGAAGCTGAACGGCGTCGTGCTGGCTTTTAAAATTTTGCATGGAGCGCATTGATTGTTCTGCTGATGGTCGCGTGGGAAAGTGGCGAAAGCATCCATGCGGGCATGATGCACAGCGGCTGCAGCCGATGCACCGCTGTAAACCGATGCGTCATGTCCGCTAATGGTGCGGGCTTTCCGTGCCAGCAGCGGCGTGACGGACAGGTCTCTAAGCTGGAAAACACGCTTCGCCTCGTTTTAGTCGTCAGTGGCAGGTGTGAGTACACATTGGCTTATTTAAATACGTGCGGGAATGACTCCAAACCAACATATTCTCGCTTGATTTTAAAACGCCGTCGCTGTAGCAAAATAGGGAACAGGAGGAGGTGAGCGCGTTTAAGTTCCTGCAATTTGGTTTATGATGGTGCGAACCAAATATCGTTGTTCCGGCCTGTTGAAGTTGTTCCCTGCACCGTCCCACCGCGTGTCAAGCTGTCTCCTAAGCAGGGGTGAAAAACCTTCTGATTCACCGAATATGATGGGAGACAAAAACTGAGACTGTTGCGAGCCAGTTGGTGACAAAAATTCGACAATAAAAACAAACTTCAGCAGATCAGAACAAATTACAACAGGCCATTCCAGCTAGATGAAACCCAAAGCTGAGTATTGGTCTGTACTCGCTAACCGTTGCAGCGTTAGCATGTGTAGAGCACATGTATGAGCAAGCTGAGCCATGAGACGTTGCCAGACATAGTAGTTTTAATCAGGACAGTTTTCAGCAGGTGTCAGAAAAATAATGCGAACTATACTATATCAGTGCTGACGTCACAGATCGGCGGTGACACAGTGTTTTTCCAATGCCCCTCAGATCGGCGTTTTTCACATATTTTGTAGCCAAGATTCATTTCACATACTTAACTGTATGCAATACCAAATAGCCAGGTTTATTGCCAGTCGTAAGAATCGTAGCTTGCCGCAGCATTTTGCGACGCGTGATCAGTTTGCCACGCAGCGTGTTGATACGCGCCCGAGCTGCCAGGCTTCCGGGCTGCGGCGTGTGGGCGGTCAGCGCGCGAGGGCCTGCTCTGGTGCTTTGTTAGTTTTCTGTCGTTTGGAGCAATGTGGTGGCGGTTTTCCTGTTAGGACTCCATCTCTCATCGCCCTGGTAGCTTACATTGTTTTTTATCGTGGATTTAACTTCAAAAGAGCAGTAAGCATGAGCGCCCTCAGAGTCCAGTACGCCCGCCGCAAGTTACGCTCCGCCTATTCCCTGCCTATTCCGGTCGCCAGAAAGTCCTGCCATCTGCCAACTGCTGTAAGAACTGACGAGGCGGGGAACTCATCGGGTTTGTGCTCAGAAGCTGAAAGTGTGTGAGTGCTGTGTTGTTTAGTTTCAAGCCATTGTAATAACTTGTTTGCAAGATTAATTTCAGGTTAAGGTTAGAAGGCCAACGTTAAGAGATGTCCTCTCCCTCCGGCAAGGGACTTGTTTGCCCCCCCCCCCCCTTCCACCTCTCCCCCGGTGGGGCCGAGCTTTGCGCGGGTTAAAGACGTGGATGGAAGAAGCTTTCGAACAACGAACCCCTTCGCCATCCGTCGTGGACTAGAGTTGAACGCTGGCGAAGTGGAAGCCGCGAAACCGCTCCAGCGAGGAGCCCTCCTAGTAAGGGTGGTTACTGAACACCAGGCCAAGGCCCTGCTGAAATTAAGCAAGTTCATGGAGCGCGATGTAACAGTCACTATCGCAGACCGCATGAATACCATTCAGGCGGTTGTGTACAGCCCGGAACTAACCGAGCTGTCAGAGGGAGAGCTGCTGGGGAAGCTGACTGAGCAGGGCGTGCGTGAGGTTGTGCGCCTACCCTCCCGTCGTCCCAGCATGGGTCCCAATCCAATGGTCCGACTGCGGTTGAAAGGGCTTAAGCCCCCACGGGCCATCTTCTGCGGGTACCTTGTGGTCCCGGTTAAGGCCTGGGTCCCTCACCCATGAATGCCGCACATGTCAACGATTCGGCCATACTGAACGGACCCGCCGAGCTGCACACCCAACCTGCGGCTGCCGCGCGGACTCCCACTACACGCGGGAGTGTGACACCGAACACCTGCGCTGCGCCCCATGCAAGGGTCCACACGCAGCTTGGGCCCGCCGGGTTTGTCCCACCTGGGATATGCAGCAGGAAGCGCTGAGGGAGCGGCAGCAGCAGGCAGCGGCAGCGGCTCACGCACCCGGTCAACGAGAGCTCCACTCTCAGGAGTGGCCCACACCACAGGAGGCGTACCCTCGCCCTCGCCCTCCCCCACTGACACCAGCTCCACAGCGCCGCCCCTTTCCCCTCCGCGTCCTCTTGAGGAGCCTGAGATACTGAGCGAGCACCACTCCACGGCGCAGTGCCTCCCCTCAGGACGCCGCTCTTCCTCAAGTCAACCACGTCTGGTGCGGAAGCCCGCGCCGACCGATCCAGTTGAGGTAAACCCGGTGGTTGCGAGGTCCCCTGAGGAGGGCCTGCCCCACCCGACCCAGAGAGCCTCTCTCTCATCCCAGAACGTCGGTGTTGGTCCCTCACCCGCACCGGCGTCCCAGGAAGCCCCGTCTGATGCCTGGGCCGCCGGGCCGCTGACACCAGCCCCCGGGTCAGTCCCTCGCTCGAACGTCGAGCCCGCCGCGTTACGCGCTCCCGCCGTCGCTCCCCTCGATCTCTCTCCCACCGCAGCTCCGCT